TATATTTTTTATCACGAAAAAAAAAACGCCGATATTTCCGTTGGGCCACTTAACTGTACTGCGTTTTTCAACACTTTATAGAACCATTCCTAACGATAAATAAAAGACCAGACTCTTAGACATTATAGACTTCTGCTTCTTCAATAAAAATGGTACTCATAAAGTTTGCATTCATTGTTATTGGTCATATGTAGACTTATTTTGTTAAAAAATGCATTTTGATTCTAAACACAAGTACTCCGAGGTTGATATTAAGAAGATGCTTGGGTTTCTTTCTCATTCCGAAGATCTGTTGGAATTTGGATGGATACTAGTTGTGCCTGTTATAGGAAGATCTATTTTTTATATTCATCTGAGAAAAAAATATTCATAAACTTCATAAACTTCTACATGAAAAGAAGTCTCCTGCTGTGGTCTTCAATTCGACATTCAGACATATCGACGTTTTATCAATTAATAATATTTTATTTCCTTTCCTGCGTTGATTCGGTGTGTCCCATTGATCTCGAAATAAAAGACACCAAAGAGTCTGATACATCTGTTTTATATTTGAATGTTTTAGTAGAGAAAAACATTGATGGCAAACTGAGAACTAAACGTTCAAACTTTAAATTTTCTATCGTCAACTTCCCTTACTTATGTAGTTATATATCATAATCACCTACATATTGAGTTAATGCCTCCCAGTTGATTCAATACGAATGAGCATGTTCTACAAACAGTTTCTAAAAAAAGACGCTATTGTCAAATAAGTTTATAATACAAGGATATCAATATTCTTGTTTAAAGTCAAAATTTACGGTCTATACAATGACCTTGTTTGCAAATACAATCTGTCACTAGATCAAATGCTGATTTACTTTTTAAAACAAATTTTTAGGCCATTATTTTACACACTGAACGGTCAACGAATTTCCCATTTTCATGATCATAACAAAAAGCACACGGTGGGTGTGATTGCTCGGCAGGAGATGCTTATTCCTTCAGAGCAACTGATCCCACCTCTGTTCTCAGAGGTCCGTGTTTGCTCTGTTCATAATTTTTATTGTTTTAATCGACTTTTGAGAGTTATTAATGTTCGTTATATTCACATTTCAGCTTTTAGTCACGTCACAACAGACATTTTAAATTTATTATTAGATTAGTATCAATCCAACCTGACTCTTTTCCTCGTGAAATTTCCTGCAACAGGCCACCTCTAATTGAAGCTGAAAAAGTTACAAACACTGGCAGGATATTATAACTTTCATAAAGGTACATGTACATTTTAAAATAGCTAAATAATTCCATTGTAAAATACAGTATTAATCTCTCTCTCTCTCTCTCTCTCTCTCTCTCTCTCTCTCTCTCTCTCTCTCTCTATATATATATATATATATATATATATGGAGAGAGAGAGAGAGAGAGAGCATATAGAGAGAGAGCATATAGTACGTAGAGTGATCAACATAAGATGGTAAAATTCATCTTTCTAATATACATCAGAATAGAAAAAACGATGAGATTCATATAAAATGAAGAGCTTTGATAACACATGAAGAAATTGTTCCACTTCCTTTGAAAAATAAAACTTCCCAGAGATATGCAATAGATAAAAATGATTTCAGAAACCGTGCAAGTGCAACGATTAACAATAATTTTTAAATGGGTCGAGATTTTAACGAACTGGCTGTGTTTAGCTGATGACAATGAATTCTATGCCCGAATAAAGAATTTTACTTACCAATTACATCTGTAACAGACGCTGTTGAAATTGTACCTAAATTTATACCCCATTCATACGACACGATTTGCATACCTCAGTATATTTACACATATGTAAATTTACTTACATGTGCAATTTTTGTCGTATGAACTGATTTCCTCATATGCAAATTCTGCACAGTAGAGTAAATTTACACCTGGTCAGGACAAGGTGCAAATTAACTTTTGCATACACGTCGTCGCAAATTATTTTCTCCCGTGTGTAAAGTTTGTCGTATGAACACGCAGCAAATTTACTTATGTAAGTTTTTTCGTCAAGTGTATTGCATCAATCTCCATTTTAAGCGTTGTATATGCATTGGCATGTAAAATATCAGTCGGTAAACATGACCGCTCTAAAAAACGCGGATTTTCAAGGGTCATTCTTGCGCTACGTAAACAAAATTTGAAAGTGAATTGAGTTTCTGTAAGGGTAGATCTGTTGGTGTATGGCTTCAAAAGCAAAGCCTTCGAAGGATATATGCTGGGTCGCCGAGAAGTACTATTAGCATAGTACTTTCTTCAAATTGCTTTCTCCACTCTGGAAACAAGGAGCCAATATCTCCTCTGAAATAACTTTTCGAATGGCAAAAATGCGGGCATCGTGCACCCTTCCTGGCAAAATTTTATGTCTCTATGTCTCTTATGTCTCTAAAGATATAGCTGTGGTCGCGAACACCCTGCATATTCAACGAGTAGAGCGTCTTCCTGTTCAAGTATTCTCCGTGTGAATGCTTAGGAGCTATAATAGGAATATACGTGCCATCAATCGCTCCAAATCAGTTTAGCCCTTGATAACTTTCTTCATCCTTTCTCAGTTTTTAAACTGAGGAAGCTAATGACAGATAAGTTGATGTTACAGGGATTTCAACAATCTTGTTTCATGTCAGCAATTGGTAAATAGAGTAAAAGATAGATTTCATATGACACATTTTCTTTTCGAGTTATTTCCTTTGGCCGCCATCTTGGAGATCAAACTGGTATTTGAGCAGAAATATAAGGGCAAAAATCTTAAATGACTAAACCTATGAACTAAAGGAACCCTTTGTTAACATATATTCGTAAGAAAAACTGTTATCTCTGCCTCATTCTCCGCTGAAGACAATAACCAGTAGATGGCAACAACCACCTTCACATCCAACGGCTCTTCTAGTCTTTGGGCCGGGACCAAAACATTTTCCAACTTCTCACAAAATTTTGCGAAATTTTCCTTAATCATTTGAAAATTCTCATACCAATCGTCGTCCTTTAAGTTATTAAGAACGGTTTTGTCGTACCAATCATTTGATCTGACTTTTCTTCTAGTTTCTTTGAGGAACATCCAAAAGTTAGTCCTATACCCAAATAGTAAAGAAATACCCTTCTTCTGTGAAAATTTACAAGTCTGAAGCGGTCCATCTCCTTATTTTAATTGAATGACAATTTGAGGATTTACTTATGGTACATAAATCTCGTCTGAACGCATAGCAAATTAACTTTTACTTATGTGTCTAAATTTACTCATCTATAAATTTGCACACATAAGCAAATTTTCGTCGTGTGAATGGGGTATTATTAAGCCAATTAAAATACACAACATATATGTAGATGAAGATAAATATGTGAAAGATTACTCTTCTATATTTCTAACATAATATTGTATCAGTAGAACGGGGGGTTGAGAGGGCGGGGGACAATTAAATATGCATAAAACTTACTTGACGAATCATCAGTGTCAGTCTTTTTCTCTACAATAAAAACATCAGAAAAAAGTAACTTTGTGTAGAATACACATAGAATGCAAATATAGAGTTATGTTAGCTTTATATGAAGTGTTTAATGGTTTTTAAGCTGCATCAAAGTATCAAAATATATGTGTTTTACACATTTTGCTGCAAATACTAATGTAGTTTCAATGAAAATAAATAACATTCTTTGAATTTTGATAGATGTTATAACAGTGTCAGTTGATCTGAAGGTTGTTTGTATCTTTCACTATGGATACATAGATTGCATCTCTTTGTCAAAGTTAATTTTTACAAGAAAGGAGCTTTTAGCGAATGAATGACAATTTTTCTACACGTTTGTCAATTTCTATGCAAGGTGAGACAGACGGGAATTATAGACACATTCCTTGTTTTTTTTTTTTTTTTTTTTTTTTTTTTTTTTTTTTTTTTGTAAGTGCATGCACATATCGTAGTGAAGTCAACTGTTAAGATTTTACCAGAGCAAAAAAATATCTCAATATATTTGCTTAACGTACTAAGTAGATACATCATAATCATTATAATACTTACCAATGTTTTTTGGAAGCATGGGATTTGTTTCAACTTCAACTATGGAAATAATTTCAGATATTCATATAATTAAGTGCACACAGAGGTTAGAAATAATATCATTTGACAAAAGTGCCAAAAATTCTTAGTTTATAAATGTCAGGAAAAGATTCAACCTTAAAAAAATATTTGTTTTACTCCGTGTTCGACCTCTGAATAGTTTATTTAATTTGTGGTTACTTAAATAGAATAGGCTAGTGATCATTTAATTCTTAATATGTATGTAACATAAAAAAAAATGTAGCCTTAAAAATACAAACCTACCCATTGACAAACATGAAGAGTTTTCAAAGAAACCAAATAAAATTTGAGTAAATTGCTTTAAATGGAAATATTCTATCTTTTAAGGAATGAATTTGAAGTGCTAAGAAGATCCAATGTATATTTTTACATATGTCCGAATTAATGAGAATTTATGAAAAGTGAGAAAAACTCGAGATTGGCATCTCTTAAACATCGTGTTTCAACCATATATTCCATTGAAATCACATCATACTTTTGTATTTTATCAACCTAAGTTTCCAATGCACACAGGTTCACATGTATATAATACGAATTTTGCATCTTTTCAATAAGGATGGCATAGAGTCTATTAGTACTTACGTTCGTGTTCTGATTTGTTGTCTTTTCTCAATTTATTCCTAACTGTATTAACAAAAGCATGCAGTACTGATTGTTTCTGATCATTTGAATTTTTGGTAGATAAAATAGAGAGACACATATATCAAAATTACTGTTAAAAAGTAATTATTGATAAGATAATGTTAATATACATGTAGTACTCACAGTGTCTGTAGATAAAAACTATTATAATTGCAGCCAGGACACCGACAACTACTACTATTGATACAATAGGTATGATCAATGGTCTGAAAGGGAAACTAAAACTGTAGTCTATATAGTTGTATATGTGGCTAATATCAGAATCATTAAGTAATCTATTTACAGGTTTGGAGTGATGTCTCCATCACTTGGCATGTTCACTGACGAATTTGCTGTTTCTACAGTTGTTGGAATAAATGATGAAGGAGATGAAGAACTGTACTTTGACGAGACCAGTGAATAACAATTCGGAACTAAAAATAGTTTTAAAAATTAAATTTTCAACAAGAAAGTCTTATTTAGTCAAAAGTAAAAATCAAGCCGTTGCAAACAAATTCTGAGACTTGAGAAATATACATTATCAAATAGAAATTGTGTATTGATTATAAAGGTCGGTAAGACTACGTTTCAACCAGTAAATAAAAATACTGTGTACACAAATCAAATCTGTGTTTAAAAAGGAGAAAGTTCAATAGAATGCAGTGTGATTATAACAGCAGGTTTAGCTACATAGTTTACACACTCGATTCCCCGCATGATTCATTCCTGAGTATGAGAAGAACTTCGTATATAAATTTCATTCACGTGCATTGTGGCGACTGCTAGTCCGGATTACAAATAATCACTTAATTGTTTACCAATATATATGTTCCTTTTATGATTATTATTCAAAAGTACAATTACGAACGTATCAAAATGAATGACCTTCTTAAGAACAAGGTATTCACCCAATATTTGCTGCATTGTCACATACATTGTAAATCACATTGACAAAAATAAGTGAATTTATTAAAATCTTTCACAATTTATACAGGGTACAAAAAATCCTTAAGCTGAATTAGTTTTTCACGATTTCTTATTGTTTCTTGCATCTAATATTTCAAAACTAATCAACATATAAAGCATGAACATACAACAAGAGACGAATGGTTCAATTTTATTATTAGTACTGTGTAATATTGAATTTTGAGCTAAAAGAGATACAAATGTATATTACATTTATAAGCATCCGTTGATATATAGCGACTCGTGAAGGGATCTGCAATACTGCCATTTCTTAAATAAAGATGATCTTGAATTCTGGCACAATTGATATTGTATTCTGTACAGTATCCTTTAATTTTGAAGAAAAATATATAAAAATGAGTTAATTAACAATAAAATACTGGTTGTTTTAGGATAATTAAATAATCACTACATTTAATATACTTTTGTGTACCTTGGATATAAAATACTGGAGCGCACACTTCAACCATCTTGTCCTCTAGTTCATTTATGACACAGTGATATTTAAATTTAGATTTCTCTGTGCAATTTTGTTTTTCGGCCACTGATTCACAGTCCTTAATTTTTGATGCTGTTTCGAATTTCTCCTTATTTGTGGGACAACTGCTTGCTATCGTCATTGATTTCTTTGACCATTCGCAGTAGCGGTCACATAGGGCTGAATACTGTAAAAAAAAATGTTGCTTTAGAGTATAACATTAAATATTTCAATTGATAACATTACCTTAAGAGCTGTAGGACATTTCAAAAAGTTTATTGTTACTTTTGGTCTGACAGTTATTTTCAAATTCACTACAATAAGAGAGAAATATATCACAATTCATTGTTGGAAATGTAGTAAAATGTATTGATTGTTTGGAAGAGTAGACGGATCTTTCCACCGCTGATTCCAAAGTAAACTAAAAAGTACATTTGTGTATTTCTAAGACTAAACCTTTATGCTGATAAGACACTTGTTTTCCATTATCATTTTAAAAGGCGTGTTACACCCCACTAGGGTCCAAAAGTATCATCAATTGTTTGGGTTCAATTAATTTTACAATTATATACTCTTGTTGCAAATACATAGTATAAATGTGAAATTTGAATTGCTGATGCAATTCTAATTGATTTATAATACATTAAATAAAAGAGTATTTCTCTCTTTTTTTAGTTTTTGGATAGATTCGGTTTTAAAAAAAAAAGCATATAGTTGAATGTCAAACTAACCAATACTTACAGGATATAGGTTAAGTACCATAAGAAGTGTAATGGACTTCAATACTCCAAACCTTCGCCCCATTTCCAGCCTAGTTTATCCAATCTAACCATAAATGAAAGATAAGAACACTTATAAAAAACCATAAACACCATCCCATTGACATATTCTTACTAAAAGTCTAATCTCTAGTTATTTTTTGTATTTTTAAATTTCATGTTAACACTTTCAACGATTTTATATTTTCTTTTCAATTACGATTTGAATTAATTTATATTTCACACAATGGCAACTTAAAAATATTTTTACTATATATAGTTCTGTTATTCATGAAAAATATGTATATTTTTAGGTGAACATTTAATCCCCCAAGTATGACCTTTCAATCCCTAAACAATCTTCCACAAATAAAATGGCTAAATTGAAATTACATTTTATGAAAATGCTTGCACATTTTTTTTTAACTAAAATTGATCCTGTTATTACTGCAACAATGAGATTCAATGAAAAAGGTGAAGATAACAAACAATGATCTAACTCAATAAAAATTACAAACTATACATGTCTGTGAACAGGGCATAAAAGAGGTGTGATCAGGTGCCTAGGAGGAGTCAGCATCCCCTGTCGACCGATACGCCCGCCATGAGCCCTTTGTATTGTTCAGTCAGACGGAAAATCAGTAGTCAAATTTAGTACAAAAGGAAAGGTATGACAATTGGAATGAATCATGTCAGCCATAATATCACCCAAAAATATGGTATATTGGTAACAATGTCAGATAAGGATCATAGAATTTACGAAATGCTGACTTTTAACAAGGTTGTTTAACTTTCTGTTACACCAACTTATCCGTCAGTAGCCTACCGGTACAGCGGTTTAAAAATAGACGGAACATTTTTATATTTTTGTCATTTATTAATAATCTTGCATTAAAAGACCCTTCATTTTAACGTATTTGAATTCGCTCCACCATTTTGTGGCAAGACTATATCAATGAGGTTCACCAGTTTTGGGGAAGAGAATGGACAATTTGAAATATTGAAATATTATTATGTGAAAAACGACAGAGAAACTAACGACGTACAATCTTTAGTCAGAGAAATGGAGTCTTTTCACTTCTATGAGCTTCAAAATGAATGTCATTCACACACCCTTATTAGACGTACGGCAACAGTATGTAATACAGTAAATCACGCTTATAATAAACTACCACTTACAGGGAGGTCATTTTCTTTCTCCGTAGCTTCAAAATATATTGTGGACTTTACGGATATTACAAATTACGTTTATAATGGAGCAAAATCATCTGTTCTTGGCACTTCTTTATAAGCGTGTTTTGTCGTCTGAGATGCAGATTCTGTATTCGTATATCATACATTTCTTTAAAAATAATTTTGTTCCATGTGCAACTCAATATCTTTACTATTACAGAATTAAGTAGAAAATGACACATTGTCATGGAATTCAATTTGAAGTCATTTCTAAAGGAACCCCGATACCTATATTCAATTTGATATCATTTTAAAGAAGAGGTCAAGAAGATATGAAAAACCATTTACTGAGAGACTGTAGGCAATATTGATACATTTTCTTTGTCTAAGATGGAGAAAACTCCCATTTTTATACCTGATTTTCTTCATTTTTCATTGAAAAGGGCAGTTTAAAATATGTTTTTTCGTTGCGTTTATCTAAAAATTATGCCCCGATACACCTCAATTTATTTAGCTACAATTGTAAAAGATTATTAAAGGAATTTGTTTCTCAAATTTGAGAAATCTGTAGGCACTCTTCATTTACTAGATCTTGACCTTAAAATCAAAGATAAGCAGATTTAAGAAATATCGTTTAAAAATCTCATATGAATAGCCAAAACAACAAATATTATTTTGATTATATATTAATAAATATGGAATAATGCAAACCAGACAAGTCCTCCTTTGAGTATAAGAATGCACACGCAGAAGTGTACAGTTTACAATTTAAATTTCACATAGGTAAATATGGGGTGTACGCATGAGATATGCAATTTATTTAAACGAAGTGCCGCCAGCCTGTCAGGTGTACCTGAGATGGCTAGAGGTAAAAAGCGGAGTGGAGTTATGTGGCGTCATGTAGTGGAGTTTGTATTGAAACAACACAGAAAGTAAAAGAAAGCAATCTGATTTTTCTTATAACAATGTCACCCTTAATCTTGCAACGTCATTTTAGATTTGTTAAAAGAATGAAACAGGAAACGAAATTGATGCAGCCAGAACGAATCTAATGACCCTTAAATGTCACAAGAGGATCACCTTTAAAAAATTTCATAAAAAGACTAGGTGATATGACACTATACTCCTATCCCAAACAGACAAACCTAGGAAGAGGTGTTGTTACTGTAATTTAGAATGAAATAGATAAATAGCAAACGAATGCACTGAGGATTGAATTATTTAGATACATAATTATTTTAAAAAATTTTGTTGTTGTTGTTGTTGTTGAGGTTTTACTGTTAAAGATGTTGTTGCTCAAGTTGTGTTACTATATCTTCCTTTTTGGGTATCAGTAAATTGCGGGAAAGAAATCATAGAAGTTGACAAGAATTTTTTCCTGTCCTTGTGCACAATCCTCACTCCTTCCCTCTCTCATTTCTGTGTAGCAAAAGCTATAGATATATGATCACTTAGACACTTAGAAACTCCCTGATTTCAGAATAAATGTTACAGTCACAGTATGAACCATTTTGACTATGAAGTGAATGAGTAAATGGAAAAAAAATCATGAGCTTTAAATGTCAGGAATTGGAATAGCTTGTGCGTTTTGGCTTCCCTCTAAAGTAACAGAGACTGGGTGACCCACAAGTACTCTCATCCCGACAGGCGAGAAATCTTGAAAGATATAATTAATTTACTGTGTTAGAAATGCTTACTCTGACAACTAAAGAAACTAAAGCATTTTAATTTCAGTTTGAATTTAATAATTTGCATATATTTATGGTCCATCCTCAATTAGTAATAGAAATAGTTCTAATTACACATATACATAAACACTGGTTCTTCACAACCTTTGTATACATAAGTACACATTTAATAGATTTGTCAATTTTTAACTGATTTTTGATATTATATCTCACTTACATATAACACGTACTTCAAGAATTAAAATATAGTTTAAATAGTGCTGATAAAATGATTGTTAAATGTCATTTCCTCTTGTGTCATACGATGCCAAAGCATGTTAATTAGGAATTCATTTATTTCCTTTCCGTTCCAATAAATCTAATTCAGCGTAGTACTTCAATACTTTTGGATGGGCGTCTACATTCTTCGCTTTGTTTTTTCCTCTTCGCAGGGAAAGATGTTGATGCTGACTTTCATCCCTTTGCTTGCTTGTAGACCTGATATAGCTACATGTGGAAGGTTAGAAGATACTTTGTTTACATGATGCATCTGAATAATTCTAGTTTCTTTTACAGTATTTTATTTGTGCTTAACTATAGGCAACCTACAATGTTACATGCGTGTCAAAATGCTCGCTCCTACTTATGCAAACGTGTTACATTCAATGTAATATAATTTTAGCTTTAAAGGATCCGTTCTGTGCTGGCTTTTACTGGGACCATGCGAAAATGATCTGTGCGAGTAAGAATGCTTTTGTCATTATTCCTTTAAGACTAGACAGTTTTTCTTTCAAAAATATTCTTATTTAGTTACTGTGGACATGTGGGATTAGTTTACGCTATGTACGCTGCCACAAATAACCCATGGACATTTGACTGTATTACATACAATTGCTATCCAAGAAATCCGATTAATTTTATACTCGCTGATTAAAGAGAAATAATGATTCCGCGGAATAATGACTCCATGGGAAAAAGGTATGTTTACTGTATATTATTCCTAAAATATATATCCTTTTAGAATGTCCTGTTGGTTTCCATAGCATAAACTGCACAAGAAAATGCGAGTATCCTAGTTTTGGAAGTGACTGTCAAATGGAATGTATATGCAACAAAGACTTGTGTGATTACAGAATAGAATGCGTCAAATTGACAAGTGGGTCATTCTTTTTTCACGAAAATGATCGTAAATGTAGAGAAACAGTTACACATGTATATTTTCAACAGGTTTTTCCCTTTTATTACAGCCACAATAAATCTGGTAACAACAGAGATGCATATCTCTTCATCGATTTTTGCAGAAAGGACAAGCTCTAAAATAACGATAAGAACACAACAAAGCAATTTTGTTTTAAATTGTTTTTTTACATTGGTGGGTATTTTCGTACTGTTTTTTGTAATTTTGTTGGGGCTTACCTATATAAGCATTGTGTTACACGGACCAAAGTGGCAGATGCAGATCAAAATGCTAGACTAGTGCAAATGCTTAATTACAAGGGAATAGAAATACAAGATGCAAATAATTTAAACTACGATAGAGCGAATGTACATGTAGATCAAACTTACTTACAACCTGTTTGGGAAAGAAGATCAGAATACGATGAAGTGGAATCAATCGAGTCTCATGCACCACTGACAGACACATACGGGCTGAACAGTGAAACAGAGATTGCTTCAAATGAGCATTGTACAGGGAGCCGAAGTCCTCATTTGTACGTTGAAATGATTGATAACCCCGATAATGGTTAAACAGATTCGTATTGTCGTTGTGAAAGATCACAAAACTACGTATATAAAAAAAAATTAAATTTTTTTTTAATTCATTCTTGATAATAAAAATAGAATCCATAAATAATTCTAACAATCTCTCTCTGTCTCTGTCTCTCTCTCTTTCTCCTTTTTTTTTACTTATGTTGGTGGTTTCATTGGGGGGGGGGGGAGTATAACTACCGATTTTTGGTTTTGTTCTTCTTCCAAGGTTTTAATTTTAATTTATTTCTTTAATATTATTTCATATGATACTTTCTGTATACAATGTAATTACTTTTCTTATATTTTATTCTCTAGATTTTTATTTTTTTCATAAATGATTCTGTTTTTTTATTGCATGAATATAGCTTAAAGTATTGTATTTATTTTTCTCTTATTTCAGCCTACATTTAAGATATTGTAATAATAAGCAATAAAACTGTAGACGCTGCCAAAACAT